CCTATGAATGCTTTTTTTGTTCAATTCATTGTACAATTTTAGGAGAATGAGTTGGATAAAGCACTTGGTGTTAAAGGGGCGAAAAGACATAGGGAAAGGTAGGAACAGGTTATCAAGCTGGACGATCACCATGGTCATTGTGAATGTTGGAGTAGGCCTCAAAAGGCCAAATCCTGCTTCTATTTCCTCTGTTTAACAACATTAGAAACCTCCAGCAGCTTACTTGAAACGAACTTATCGAAAAGTTGTTGCAGTGCAGAAAATCCAACCTTTTTTCCCCCTCAGTTACGGACTTTTGACTGTTCTCGTGACAATGGCAGATGGAACATCAAGCGGCTACATCCATCCTGTTCCAGGATTCTGACCCACAAAGAACGGCCGATATATTTCCAAGTTGGGGACGGTGAGGGGCTCGGAGGGTGAACTTGCAGGGGGTGATGTTCCCATGTACCCGCTGCCCCTTGTCCTTCTGGATGGAAGTGGGTCGTGGGTTTGGAAGGTGCTGTCTGAGAGGCCTCGGTGAGACGCTGCAGTGCATCTTGTAGATGGTACACACTGCTGTTACTGAGCGTCGGTGGTGGGGGGAGTGGGATGTTTGTGGATGTGGGGCCAATCGAGCGGGAGGCTGCTTTGTCCCTGGATGGTGTCGAGCTTCCCGAGTGCTGTTGGTGCTGCCCCCATCCGGGGCAAGTGGGGAGTATTCCATCATATTCCTGACTTGTGCCTTGTTGATGGTGGGACAGGCTTTGGGGATCCTGAAGGCAGTGAGCATTGACCCATGGCGTTGAAGCACGCATTTCAACACCAACCATAATCGCTGGCAAACGATCGACTGGAAAGATGAGGAAAATGGTCTCCAATTCAGGATGGCGAGTGGCGTGAAGCGGGTGGTGTTCCCACGTATCTGTTGCCCGTGGCCTTCTAGATAGATCGTGGAACGTACTGGTGAAGGAACCTTGGTGGGTTTCTTTGCTGGAACACACTGTGCAACTGAGCATTGGGGTGGGGGGGAACTTGTATCTCCTTATGAGGCTCCAAGTCAAGTTTTGTGATGTTCCTGTCAAGAACCTTGGAATGTTTCATTACCTTAAAAAGGCACCAACTACTCTCGCTTTCATTGGTTAGTCTGACGTGGCCTTGAGGCGTGGTACACTGGGCACTAAGACCATGATTGACTCAGACATTGGGTCACTGCTCCTCAAGCAGAAACTGAAAAGCCTTGGCGAAGAGTTCATTCTATAGCCCACAAAGAAGCATTACGTCAGCCAAAGTCCACACTGCTCGTTGTGAACGCAGTGTTAATTATAAATTCCAGGCTCTGTTTGCCTTTCGGGGAGGTGCCCGTTTACAACCGCCCAGCAAACACACATTTATACCCAGCACACTGCGTTTCCACAACAAAAGCAGACAGCTGAGCCTGTTATCAGGGATTGCGGAGGCCTTGTGGAACACAGAAAAACGCTGTTGACTAGGACTATCAATGCGCACCCAACTACTTCCCCCGAGTTGTTCTCAAGCTCCCTCCTGGTTTGAACGGATGCAAAAGCTGCCTCCCTACGGCTGGAAGAGTTGCAGGAAACCCCCCCTCCCAAGAAACACGGACAATCAATATTCACAGCTTGTCACCATGTCCCATCCCTTACACCCACTCCAGATGGGAGTGAATGCTGTTGAGCTGAAGGCTGCAAAATTCAACAGGATCGGGGCCGATCTCAATGCTATTTCCTCAGCAACTTAGCCTTGATGTCTTTAAAACTTAGAAAGCTATTAATCTCTGCCATGACTGGAACTCCACTGCGTTCCTGGGGTAGAGAACATCATAGTCTGCCCACCCTCAGAGTGAAGAAATTCGTCCTCATCTCAGTCCTAAAGAGCTTCCCCATATACTTGGGCCATAACCATTGGTTCTGGATTCACCTTTTTCAGCATCCCCTAGTTCTGAAGCGCTTGAAATCAAGCAGGCAATGGCCTAGTGGTATTATCGCTGGATTATTAATCCAGAAACCCAGATAACTTCTGGGAACCCAGGTTTGAATCCCACCACAGCAGATGGTGGAATTTGAATTCAATAAAATATCTGGAATTAAGAATCTAATGATGACCATGAATCCATCGCCGATTGTCTGAAAATCCCATCTGGTTCACTAATGTCCTTTAGGGAAGGAAACTGCCATCCTTACTGGTCTGGGCCTACATGTGACTCCAGACCCACAGCAACGTGATTGACTCTGAACTGCCTCTGGGTAATTAGGGACGGACAATAAATGCTGCCAGGCCAGCGATGCCCTCATCCTGCGAATGAATAAAGGAAAAAAAAAAGTGCGCCTCCAAGGAATCCTACCAGAATTGTGGCCAATGGAAATCAGGAGGTTGGAGTCAGAACAGGGAAGTCAGTCATCTCAGCTCCAGGACATCTCTGCAGGAGTTCCTCAGAGTAGTGTCCTAGGCCCCAACCATCTTCAGCTGCTGCATCAATGACCTACCCTCCATCGTGAAGGTCAGATTTTGGCCGATGATTGCCCAATGTTCAGCCCCATCCAGAAGGACAAGGGGCAGCAGGTACATGGGAACAACACCCCCTGCAAGTTCACCCTCTGAGCCCCTCACCGTCCCCGAATTGGAAATA